GATTGTCTTCGGCGTCGTCGACGGCAAGGCCTCAGTGGCTGAACTTGTCGTTTGCTGAGTCTGGTGGCCAAGCTCAGGCTGAGCTGAGAATTATGCAACAGAAAAAACCGCAGCCTAGGAAAAGCAGAAGGGGGCCGAGATCTCGGAGCTCTCAGTACCGCGGGGTCACGTTTTACCGGAGAACAGGGCGGTGGGAATCGCATATATGGTGTGTTCTTCTGAGCAATGACTAGATTGATCATCATTAGTTAAACTAAACGGTTAATCTTGTTTAATAAATTTCGTTTCTTTTCTGGTGTGTAGGGATTGTGGGAAGCAGGTATATTTAGGTGAGCAGATGATCATAACATGATTTTTTGAGCAAATTAAATTCATGGTTTTGTGGTCTTGGATCTAAATTGAATTGGGTTTTGCTTGGTTTTGTTGTAGGTGGATTTGATACTGCTCATTCTGCAGCTAGGTGAGTGCATATTTTCCTTTCTGTGAAGAACATATTTGCTTGGTTTATGGTTTGTTTAGTTTTTTGCTAAATTGGGTTTAATTTAATGATTTCAGAGCATATGATCGGGCTGCAATCAAGTTTAGGGGAGTTGATGCTGATATCAATTTTACTTTAGGCGATTATCAGGAAGATATGAAACAGGTACATAGAATGTGCCTATGTTTAATGACTGGTTAACTACATGAATTTTTTTTTGGTGGGTTTTGGATTAATTTTACATTGCTTACTAAATTTGCAGCTGGGGCATCTGAATAAAGAAGAATTTGTGCACGTGCTTCGTCGCCAAAGCACCGGAGCCTCGCGTGGGAATTCAAAATACAGAGGTGTAGCTCTGCCCAAATGTGGTGGTGCTGGTGGTAGATGGGAAGCTAGGATGGCACAATTTTCTGAGAAAAAGTGAGAACCAAAGCCCCCTTTAACTGAAGCTAACTTTCAGCTGAATTTATGGCTTTTAAAAAAAAAATCTGATATAAATGTGTATTTGATTTTGCTGAATTTCAGGGTCTTTGAGAAGGAGGGCATCAAATGCAACGCAAGAAGAGAAGCAGCAGCAGTTACCAACTTTGTTGACCCTAGAATCTATGAAGGGGAGGTGGTTTTAGATGCAAGCATTGAAGGTACTAAATGAAACCCATGTCTGTTTTCTCATATTGGTTTTGTGTCTTAGTACAAGATGACAAAACAAGCCCCCACCAGCCACTCATGGAATGCAATGAATTTGGTTTTGCTGTAAATGCAGGCAGTGGCCATAACCTTGATCTCAGCCTTGGGATTTCTCAGCCTTCTTCTGGTCAAAAGGGCAATGGCAATCTGGGGGATTTTCAATTTCGTAACAAAGAGAGGCCAATGGTGTGTTTTTGTTTCCTAATTTTAGTAATTTTTTTATGTGTTTTTGTTTTTGTAGGTTTATATGCAAATCATTTTCATTTTGTTTAGATATTTTTTAATGCATGTGGCTATTGTCAGCAGCCCTTTTGTAACTTTAGCCTCCTAGCTGTTGATAATTAATAGGTTTCCTCTTCTGCAGGTTAATGGTTCTGCTGCTTCTGCAGCTGTGGGGCAAACCCCTCATGTTCTAACCATGTTAGCCAAGCATCCTGCCTTATATTCTGGGATGTATCCAGGTTTCTTACAAAAACATGAGGTACTTTTACTTCTCGTCTTTTTCAGCACCAAATTGTTTGTTTTGTTTTGGAGATAGATGAATGGTAATTAATTCTAGCTTCTAGAAGTTTAGAAACTGTAATTTATATATGCATGCCAATTACTGCTATTGCTTCTGCAATGAAACACAGTAATTTCCATTGTCCTCTGGTTAAAAAGTACAGAGTAGTAGTAATTTTTCAACTTTAACAGATTTGGTCAGATAATTTTGAACCCCCTCCTTGTGATCACTAGATTGAATTTCCTTTGCATTGCATTCTTGCAGAACCATGAAACTATAGGAAGCACCTCACTTGATGGATATTGATCCAAAGTTTCAATCTATTCATTTCAAATCTGTACAGAAAATTAATGATGTTGAATAAACTTTTGCTTGCAGGAAATGGATTCAGATCACAACAGAGCCCAAGCTGTTTCTTCACCGAGATATACAAACTGGGCATGGCAAGTGCATGGAAACAGCCAGAGTGTTAGCCCAGTGCAAGTGTTTTCTATTGCAGCATCATCAGGATTCCCATCTTCTATGGCTTCTACAGCTCCTCCAGCAGCTAATTATTTTCCACCAAACTTCCAAGGCAGTGCCTACAACGTCGGCCGCCTTCCTTTTCCTACCCCATCCACCATGTAATTGTGCTTTTGAAAGGCTAGGTGTGCAGAACTTGACAAAGACACAATAGTCTGTAATGTGCAGAGATGTTTTCGTTTTGTATGTTGTCTCATATTATCAAACATAGATTGCTATATATTAGCTCTGTAACATTTCCCTTGTAACTGTTGTATATGAGCTTCATTATCCAAATGAGGGTTGTCAATCAAGTAAAAGGGTTCTTATATTTGCAATTGCAGTGGAAAAACATTAATGTATGCAAAGCACATTGTTCGCGTAAATTATCATGTGGATTCTATACACTACGTGACATGCCACAGGTGATACACAATAATTATTTCTCCTGTGTCCGTGTATGAAATACTCAGTTGTGACAAAAAGCTTGAATTATTCAATTTTGTTAATATGTGGCGTTGGGTCAACTTCAAGCCATCTAAGTTGCATGATAGAGAGAAGAAAGATGGTAGTAGATGCTGATGCTCACTCAACCTTCAACCCATACCCGAATAAACCTAACTTTATTTGACTTGTAGTAACCTAACGGATGAAGGAAAAATAAGAAGTCACTAGATATGCTGTGTGCCTTCTTTTGATACAAACGATATTGAGGAAGGTAGTTTTCTCATACACCCACTGTCAAGGTGCGATTGGATTCGAACTTGAGATCATTGATCTTCAAAATAAGACTCTTTCTTTTTTTGGGTTGCATTGGGAGGAAAGAAACCCCTTGGGGTTTCAAACCTGGGCGTCCCTGCTCTCGACTAAGCTAGACTCCTAAGTTTTTATAACAACGCTACCTATATTTTTTCTAAGGACGAGACAATTTTTCTTGTTGGGGCAATGAATTGCAAAACACCACAATAACACTAGGGGCATAGAAGCATAGGTTGGCTCCTGGCTAAGGCCGTTTAATAAGCCCACCAAAAGAAAGTTAGTCCTAGCCCGTCAACCTACCTCCAAGACCCCAACTTGTAATCTGACTATGGTTAACCTATTCGGAATTTCCGGATCTACGCTTATTTTCCGAAGCATTTCGTCGCTTACTAAGCCCTTCCTTGTCTCTAATCGAAGCAATTGGATGTTCGACTAAGGCCTATAGGCTATATGACATGACTAATCAATAGAAATACTCTAACACTCCACCTTTGACAAATCATCATTTGTCAGGACTATTCAGAGTGAGTTCCTTAGCTTGGACAAGCCATTTAGTTCATGTCGCTATTTCCGGATCTCTCCCCCGGATGAACCATATAGCCAAGAGAAACCATGAACCATAATAGAAGAGCTTGCCCCACCCACGAGTAAATACTTCGTAGTAGCCTCAATATTGCATAACATTTGGGGTGTACATCGATTCGAAACCAATACAATTTCACCAATTTGCATCTAATTCAATATGGATTGTATTATAATTTTTCCAATCCAATCCAATCTGATCCGATCCAATTGATATTGAATTGGATTGGATTGGATAATCGGTTTTCATAATGAAAAACAATAATAATGAAATTTGAAACATTTATCGTTAAGTTTAATATCATCAAGAATAATGCTACTTTTACCACATTCCCTTACCACCTTATATGGCAAATGAGGTAGACAACCATATCAATTAAATGAATTTAACATTTTCTTTTCTTTTATGATTTATTGACACTTTTTAATTGATGTGTTTGTCCACTTCATCTGCCACATAAGGTAGTATGAGAATGTGGTATACAAATGGAGTAAGAATAACATTACTCTATAATCAAACATTTTAATAGACGTAAATGTAAAATATAAAAGAAATGTTAGAGAAAATTATTTTGATTTTATAATATATTAAACATAACTCCAACAAATAAGCATGAAACTAACTACATTGGATTAGATTGGATCCTCACAAGTAAATCCGCCAACCGATCCAGTCATGTCGGTTTTGGAAATTAGGGATCGAATCCAATATGCCAAATTATCGAAACCAATTAAAATTGGACTGTATTGAAATGAATTAGTTATTTAGGTAGATTGGATTGGATCTTGCACACCCCTACATAATATGACTTAAATTTAATACGAAGTTAACGCCTTAAGATGCAATATTTATTTTACATGAACAATAAACCTACATGGAGTATTACATTCTTAGCACATCAAATTTGATACGAAACCAACAAGGTAACATGAACAATAAACGTACTAAGGGTTTTACGTTCTCAATTTGTTATTTTTTTGTTAAGTAATGAACATATGTAGTCAAATTTAGGACATAATTCAATATTGAATAAAGAAAATACGATTAGACTAAAAGTTAGTTGATTTGACAATTGAATTGTTCTTCCTATAATATTTCGAATATAAAAGCCAATATTATGATTGTCAATTTGAACCAAAAAAAGAAAAAAGAAAAATCCATTGTCAATCATAATATTGGCTTACAAAACTCTCCAATTTATATTTCATTTAAACTAATTTGTAATTCTTGAAATAAGGAAATAAATAAGGTCAGAAGATTTTCCTATGTAGAAAATTTGTAGTTAAAATTGCCACTCGATAATCCCCGAGTAGCTATCAGTGACTCGGTGAGAACTCAGTCGTCTTCTCCCAAAAGCCCAAACCAAAAATGCGGCGCGCCATAGACGCCCAC